TAGGTGGGGGCTGTCCACAGCGGTGTGTTCCTCATAGCTTTGGGATGAAGGAGCTGCAGAGAGCTGACGTTCCCTGTTACTGGTGGTGGAGGAGTGAGGGCTGCAGGCTGGTGCAGGGCAGAGCTCCAGGGGCAGTTCCTGCCGCCAGGAGATGGGGAGATGGCTGCCAGGAGCTCCTCCTCGTCAATCCACATCTTCCTGTGCCGAGGGCAGGGCTGACTGCGCAGCAGCTGAAGTGCTCATTTGAGGAGCGGGTTCGGATAGCTGCCGAGCCCCGCATTCAGTGAGGCACTCCCTGGGTATGTCTCAGAAAAATGGGCGCGTAGCTTCGAGTCCCTTCCTGTGAGATTTAGCTTAGAGAGCATCAGTAGATAAAATTGGTGCTTTAATATTTATAGCAACAGTTATGTTTGCTCAGCCTTCTTAGAGATAGTGAGCTCAGCTTTCTCTTCAGTAACCTACAAGAAACACTGGATGGCTCAACACGCTGACAGGACATGCAGCTGGGACAAGCCTCTAAGAAATCTTCAGGATATATTTGTATAGTTGGTTCTCACTCTTCCCTCTCTTACACTTGGCTAGCAAAGCTGCTTCAGGGGTGCATCTGCAAAGAAACTTGAGAGATTAGTTTGATCTTCGCAGTGTGTTTCTGCACTGTGGCACTGCAAGGATACCCTGTACTGAAAGCACAAATAGTGCAAATGCAGTTCTTGTGGTACAAATGCAATAGAGGTGTTTTGAGCAAAGAGCTACAGCTGCTGAGAGCCAGCTGAGCTCTCAGACCTGCTAACCAAAGGCTGGAAAACTGGGCATTTCCAAAGGGGAGAGGGCTCAGAGCCAGTGCTTGGAAGCACAGCAAGACACACGGTGCAGGGTGGTTGACTGTATGTGTCGTCCACCGATTATAGGAAGCTTTTTTATTGCATCTCTGAATTCCCAAGATCTTGGGCATCAGGTCAGCATTTCCACAGGCAGGTTTTATTTGCTGTTCCATAACTTTTGTGCTCACAGCAACTCATTGCAAGGCTGGTCCTTGCATCCTTGCAGCAAGTCCTCCCTGTTGGCATGTGCCGTAGCCAGTACCAGCATCTCCCTGCATCTTACTCCCTCCCTGTCCAAAAGGCGACTGTGGTAGCATTGGCCCAGGCAATAAATGTTCAGGGAGCCTGATGTTGATGTTGTCTGGCTGTGGAGAAGCCTTCTGGAGCATAAGAGGAGGGGATGAGTCAATGGAAAGCAACAGAATTGGATTTGCAGAGCTTTACCAGATGTGCTTGGCTACCTTGCCTCTATTTCTAGAACAAGACTAGCCTCTAGGTAGCTTAATCTTGTGGCTGATGGAGAAACTAGTTTGCCAAATTATCGTATGTCTGCAACAGAGACAGAAAAGCAGCAGTGAGGGGTTTGCTTACTGTAAAATACACCTTCTGATGTGAATTAATAGTGACACGCTGCCTCCTGGATTTCTCACGGCAAAGAGCAGGTAGCGTGCCAAGATGACTCGTGGGCCATCCAAGCCAGGCTGTGCTGTCTAATGTATTAACAATGGAAAGGCAAGAAATTAGTCCAGAAAGTCATGTAGAGTGTGAACTTTGTGATAAAATTCAAGTGTGGACAGTTGTAGCAGGTGTCTTCCCTGTGGGAGCATCTCGTAGCTGTAGTTACATAGGAATAAACTTTGTCAAACTTTTTTCCTTTGACTCACTGAGTTTGCCCGTGGTGTTTGTAGGAGAGGGTCCCCCATGAGCCTCTTGTATAGTAAGAGGTTGTTGGTAGTCTGTAGCTTTGGGTTTGTTTGGTTTCACACCCGCCCCTGCCCCCACCGGTTTCCTGAGCTCTTCAGACTGAACCCACACACCACAGAGCCTGGAGAAAATCCCGATGTGGGCATGACACGTGCCAGGTGGACGCTGGTGGCGAGGGCACGCGTCCGCAGGTCTGGGCACCTCTTCTTCAGTGGGGCCCTAAAAATCTCTTAGGGGAGGGAAAACGGGATGCGGCACCTTTGGAGCTGGCCGGTCCCACGCTGGCCTTCATCTCCCCGCTGGCCTCGGGCGACACGGGGTCTGTCTCCCCAGGTCTTCCCTCCAGCCGCTCTCCCAAAGCAGCCCCAGGAGCAGCCAGCGACTGCTGCTCCCTGGCCGGGGTGGCAGCGGGCACGTCCCATGGGTGCTGGCAGAGCAGCTCACCAGCGAGCCGTTCTCACTCCTCCTGAAGGGCATGCGTGTCTCGCTGCATTCAAATAATTACCTCAGCCTTCGAGCCTTGACAAACAGACGGGAATCTTTCCCAGCAGCGGGGCAGCCGAGCAGTGTCAGTGTTAGTTATCCTGAGCCATAAAACTCTGACAGCATTGCAGTGGGGAGGGTGCTTCTCTGCTCATGAAGAAGCTCAGTAAGGTGCTGCTCAATTTATTCAACACAGGGAAACCAAACAGTTTGGATATTCTGGTCGTTTATTGTGAAATTGTTTCCTAACAGCAACAGTTTTAAATGTCATCATGCAAATGGAAGAGAGAAACCTTTTATGCAGTTGCAAAGTGTTTTCCTAAGATGCTATGCATTTTGTTGGGTTATTGAAAGTGAATTTACTGTGCATTAATCTTATGAATGTTACTATGTTTTATATTTATTTTAGATGACCCTCCTGTATTTTACAAAGGGAAGTTTCATTGTGTGATAACTTAGTCTGTATTCTTAATATAATTTGTTAAATAAAACTTGTTTTAATCAGTTTATTCTCTGTGCTTTGTGTTTTAAATTGGGAGTTTAAGAAGCTTAAAACACCGCAGCTCTGACTTGCAAGAGTGGAAAGGGGCATCCCTTGGGACCAGCCGCTCTTTTCCCTCTGCATCATCGTTGCATTGACTTCTTCAGATCCCAAACCTGGATGTTTTGAAAGTAGTTAAAAACATCACGAGGAATGAAACATGAGTCAGTGCTTATTCTGAACTGAGCTGCCATGTAGCAGTTGTAGCTGTGGCACCTGGAACCGCTCCTGTTTCTTGATGTGATTACAGGTTTGCTTGGTACAGGTAATGCTTCTTTCAGTGGGCTTGGACTCCAGCAGGCATTGGGCTTTGTGCCCTGATGGACGTTCGTTAAGGAATGAGAATGGTGCGGGGTCAGCCTTGCACACCGCGAGGGTACAAAGCTGGGTTTGTCGCCTGCTGGATGTTTCCAGTGGTGTCCTGCGGAGATGAGTGTTCCCCCCTTCCCATCTCCTATCCACTTTTGGAAGAAAATATCAAATCATCACACATGTCAGTCCTTGGACTAGAGAGTCTCAGTAAAGAACAGGGATTGCAGGCTTTCATCTGAGAGACTCACTTACAAGGTGCTTTTTCCTCTGCCACAGCTGAGCAGACTGCCTTTTGCTTCTGCTTGGGGCTGATGGGGACTTCTTGAGCAGTTTTGGTGGGACGTGAGGGCCGAGACCAGAGATGCCTTTGCCTCTGCTCTCAAGCTGCCCAGGAAGGTGAAGGACACTGCAAAAGATGGGACCTGATTTCAGGAACAGGAGGAATAAAGAAATGGGAGCAGAGGCATCGTTAGAGTTGGACCAGGGGCTGCGAAGCCTCCGAGGAGGAGCTGGTGAATGGCGGTGATTGCCTGCAGTGTTGGCCGCTCTCTTGACTGACTGGAACAGCTACAGTCTGTTCATGGATCTGAAGGGTCAGCTTCAGAGGTGACAGCATGATCCCCCTTGTAGGTAATTTGCTTCTGTTTGTGGGGTTTTATCCATGGAAATTAGATATAAAAAGCCTTGGAAAATCTGTCCAAAATGTCTCTCTCAAAATGTATGCTGCAAAGTCAAAACACAGAAGTCAAGATAGCTCAACTTAAGCATTTTCTGGAGCATAAGGGGCCACATGTGACATCTACACTGCCACACAGGCCGTGTCCCAAATATAAGTGGCAATAAGTGTGTCACTACAGTAAATGACGGCAACGTCAGTGGAACAACTTGTTTATCCTCTGTAAAGATTAAGAACTTTAGTCAGTCATAATTATCAACTGCAAGATTTGCATTGTGTGTAATTATGAGGAGGTCAAGTTAAAGTCACGGAGTCGGCCTCAAAGCTTGGAAACGCCAGCGCAGGCTTGACTTGTCAGCATAGGCTTACTTTGAATTAATTGTTTTTAATGTGTGTGCACTTGCGCATGGCTGGTTCTTCCCCCAGCCTTTCTGTACAGATGTGCTTCCCCGTGCCAGGGATGCCGGTGCTGCCGCAGCTTGGGGCGGTGATGGCTCTCGCCGGGAGCTCCTGGCATTGCAGCCGGAGCAGCAATGGACTGCTGCAGCCACATGCAGCAGGTGACAGCAGCATGCCTCACCGCAGCCCCCTGGCCCCCCAGGTCCCTGGCCGCTGCCTGCTCCGCTGCACAGTGACCTGGCAGCAGGCAGGGGCTTTCGGACAGGGCTTTCTCACCTGGAGGCCACCCCAGCAGCCACTCTCTGGTGCAGCGTTTCAGCTCAGAGCTGATGCACCGGGGAAGGAGGCTGCACGTGGGCCACGTGGGAGCGTTTCTGTAGGCTGAGCGGCCCTGCCCAGCTCAGGACTCCATGGTCTCATTTTTTTACAAATATTATGAACTGGGATTCTGCAGAAATAAACAGGGTTTTATAATCAACTCTGAAATACGGCTGTGTTTTAAGAGAGGCAGTTAAGGGTGGAAGTGCGAGTTGCAGGGGAGGTGCCGTGCTTTTATGACTGACGGTCTGTCCTGCGTGGCCCTGCTTTGCTCGCGCTCGGCCGAGCACTGAGCACTCTAAGGGCACCGCAGGGATGCTGCCAGGATGGGCCTCAGCTCGAGCGATGGGAGACGGCGCCTG